TGAATTCTACTTTAATTTACGTACCTCAAGTGCTTCCTACCGAATGTCCTCGTCAAGATAGACGGTCTTTGCGTGAATGTCGAAAATGCCAAATGGATAATCCATAAAATATTTAAATGTTCGATACCTTTCTTTCAAAACCATGAATGTGGTATAGCATTCTGTCAAAGTCAAATTCTGGCCAATTTCACCCAAGCAACTTCTGTAAATTCTATCAAACGCCATATCTATGTCAAACTCGGAGTCAACCCTTCTGACTGGATGTAATGTAGAAGGATGGAACAAAAAGATTCCTCGGTTGGTGGAAGCCATTTGTTTGCAAAGCCTTCCCGTATATAGCGGAAATGTTCTTCCTTTGTGTTTGGCAATAATAAACCCCACATGATTGTAAAGAAAATGACATTTTGCAGTGGTGATAATTGAACTAATACATTTATAGTGAAACTCATGTAGGTATATATATAGGCAAAGTATGTTGGTGATAAAAATTATTGGAAATAAAGGTAATACTGTGTAGCGGCCATCGCTACAGTACAATTACATGTGCATGTTCTTTTTTCAATTGTACATTAGTAATATGGACGAAGAAATATGGATTAAAAAAATTAACCCCAACATCAACTACATTGACGGCACACAAACTTTGCCCCATGCATGTGGTCGTACAGGTTGTGTATTACAATTACAACTCATTTCCATCTCCTTCTTTTTTTTTTACCTCACTTCTCAAAGGAAAAGACATGACCTACCTGCCACTCCTATATCCCACTCTCTCTGCACATAATAAAAGATAGCAAAAAACCCTTCTCATAAATGATGTACCACATGGCAAAAGAACAAACAACAGTTGATGTTACCACATGCAAGAAAGCAAAATGCCACCCCTATACCCCATCGTTTCTAATTTTAATAAATGTGAAAATTATTATAATTTTAGTTAATTTTGAAACAAAATATATTTGATTTTTTTTTTTTTTTTTGTTTTTTTTTTTGGTTTCAACAAACAAATCTCGGTTATTTGCAGCAAAAGTTTATCAACGAACACGAATATTCCATTTTATTTTCTTTGCTCCAAATATTTCATTTTATTTTTAATCATAATACATAGATTGGTCGACGAAAATATTTTTCTTCAAAATTTGCATAGAACTATGGCTTGAATTAAGAATAGCATGTGGGATTAGTACTAACAAGTAGTACTCCCGGCAGTAATGCTCCCCTACCCACGGTGGACACATGTTAATATGCCCACCCCTTTATAATGACATTTGTTACGTGAGTAACATGTGTTAGATTATACTAATTTCACTATACATATTAACTAGTATTTGATCATGTGCATTTGCACAAATATCAAACACGTTTTTGTTTGTATTTATTAATTTGACATGTACTTCTTTCATATAAAATTTATTACTTTTTCTTAAGTTATTTTTATCATTCAAACTTAATTGAGATTTAAATTTTATTTTAACCATGTAATGGTTACATTAGTAACATGTATAAAACAATTTATTATATATTTGTGACATATATTAAGAAAATTAACATAAATAAAAAAAAATGCAACAAAATAACTTTAGGAAAAAAAAATATGTGTCAATCATATTTTTCTTCCAACATTGCAACAAAATATAGCGGTTAGAGCTATGAATGTGCAATCAACTTTAAGTTCCAACAATAGCCGTTACAATATTAACAATCAATTTTAAGATCAACATTTTTTTTTAAAAAAAATGTTGGGTAAAATAGTGGTAACAATAATTTGTAGTTGTACCCGGTGAAAAGGGGAAACATCCCATACCTATTGCTTCCCTCAAAAGGTGTACGTGTATTGTATTATTATGCATGAAAAGAATGAAAAATAAAAAAAAAAAACCGTATTGCACAATTGATAGGAACAATTTTTCTTCACATGCCAAAACAGTGCACTTTTTTTATTCATCACATGTCACTCCCACTGAATTTTTTTTATCTGCAACTGTCAAAATATTGCCAGAAGAATCTGGATCTTGTAAAGCAATCTCCAACTTGCACTTTTTTGGAAACAGACAACAGGAAAAAACAATTCTGGCTAACTTTAATATAAATGTTACTTTAAATATATATAGTATATATTCATTTTGGGAATATGCAAACAAAAAATCGTAGTAGTCTTTATAATCAGAATATAATATTATAATAACAATTATTATATATAATGTCCCAAAAATTATATTTATATGAATTTTAAAAACATGAAAACTTGATTGAAATTATTTTAACAATTATTTTATAAATTACTATTATATTTGTGCAATATAACTATATTTGTAATTTTATAATAATCTACTTTATAGTTACTTCAATTTTCTTTTTCATTTTTAGTTTAGAATTAATGAAAAAAACATGTAATTAGTAAAAACTATTGTTTGTCCCATTTTTGTGCCGTTTTAGGTCATTATTTTACCGTTCTTTTTCCCCCATATTGAGTCGTTTAGGTAGTTTTAGGATCTTTTTGTCGTTTATTTTATGTTTTGCATTCATTTGAGTGTTTTAGTGTTTTCCGTTTGTTTTCTGGTCTTTTTCTGTTCTCTTTTCGTTTTTGGTGCGTAGTTCGGAGACCCCGGAGGAACAGGTTTTCGAGAATCTATTGGGGAAGCTGACACCATTAGAAAGAGGGGCTCGTTAGCGACGCGTAGGAAAAAACGGAACTCAATTCCGAGTCCGAACGAGCCCGTACGAGCAAAAACAAAGACGACGCGCAGAGCAGTCCAGGCCATAGCGCCGCTATGCCCATAGCGCCGCTATGGCTTGTTGAGGTAGCGGCGGTTTGCGTATAACGATGGGCTGCAGCTCTGGGCATTCCAGCCATAGCGGCGGTTTCCCCATAGCGCCGCTATGCCCTGTTTTGTAACAGCGGCTATTTTCTCGGAATTTCGAATTGGAGGGTTAAGGGATCGCGTTTCCTTCACTTTTAAACATTCCCAGACCTGGTTTTTCATAGTTTATGATCCCAAAAACATATTTTTAGTTTACTTTGATCTTGGATTGGATTTTGGAGCATAGAAACTCCTTTTCTAGCTTTGGATCTTGGATTGCTCGTGTTTGTTCACATTGGATTCAAATTAATCGTAAGCACTTCTTTTCTTATTTAATATGATGATGTTTGCTTGGGTTGATGAATATTTTGATGTTGAATGCATGATGAGTAGCTAAATCCATTAGCTAGGGTTAGGGGAAGATCATTCCGGTTCGATTTCGTTCATATGCATGATAATTGCTCAATCCTCTCGAGTTGTGCTTAGCCTAGGGTTTTGATGTTTGATCACCATCTTAATCTAATTAATCGATTTTATAACTGAAAAGGGAGAAATCGTTCGATCTAGGCTCATTAGGAGTAAGCTTGTTCGTAATAGTATTGCTTATGTGTTGATTGTCTCAAGAATTACTCGTTTATGTCTATCCTCTTGTTACGAAGAGTTATTGAGGATAGATCTCTAGATGAATAGTTTTGTGAGGCCTTTAACCGAGCTTTTGATTGCTCGTTGAGTGCATTGAGAACTGGGATTGATTGACCCCGATACCCTAGCTCTTTTATAATTATTTGAGTTTGAACTTGTGATTCCTAGCTTTTCTAGTTTTTTTCCAATTACTTGTTTTTCAATTCGTAGTTGATAATATTAAACCAAACCAATCGAATTAGAGTGTTTAGGTCTTTTTCATTATTTCGTGAGATTGAATATTCGCATAGAATAATCCGGCTAACCTTCCTCGTGATACGACCCGGTGTCGAATCTTTGGATTCTACTCCGGTTAAAAATACTTACAACAACTATAATGAACTATAAAATCAAATTTACCAAAAATATATATAAAGATCATACGCGTCGACACAGTAATCAAATTTTATATCATCTTAAGAAGTGGCATGTTAATTGGAGGGAAGGTCATAAGCGTCGACACTGTAAATTTAATTTTCGACGGAATAAAAAAGACAAATACGGTGTAATATAAATTTCAAAAAAAAAAAGTTTTACTCATGTCATAATTACTCAAATTATTATTCGTGACATAATTTTTTTGTAACTATATTATCATTTAATGAAATAGGTATATTATATTAATAATAAAAAGGCCTACAAATTTTTTTTTTTAAAAAAAAAAGTTTTGTTCATGACATAAGTATAGTTAACACTTATTTAAAAATATTCTCAAATACCAATACATTCTCATATTTACATATACACCTAAATTTTTAAAAAGTTTTTGTTGTTTAATTTAAATGCACCTCATTTTCCATTATGGTTGTGTACATTGTAACCCATAATATATTTCACAATTATATCTAAAGATGATGCATGAATAGATAGAAAATAATATATTTTTAGAAGTCTGGTTTTCATTAATACAAGTGCACACTCAACAGGTTTTATCAATACATACGGTATTTTTATCTTCGATTCGCCCATAGCGCTTGGGCTATCGTGTCACGCAACACACAATGCTCACCAGCGCCGGCGTTGGAGTTATTACTCATCATAAAAGGGAAAGTCCGATCATTTGGATCATGTCGTCGTACGTATTCTGGGTTGCTGAATTTAGGGGGCATGTTTTCGAGCGGTTCATGCATCCGAATAAAATTGTGTAGGACACAACATGCTATCACTATGTCCGTTTGGGAGTGAACTTTGTAGTTTGGCATCAACCCCTTTATCATGGGAAACTTCCCTTTTAGCAAACCAAAGTTGTGTTTGATAACATTACAGACAGTGGCATGTCGTCTGTTAAACAACTCACGAGCATTGTCGGGCAATTGGTTAGACCCCAATCACTCCGAAAGATGATATCTTTCACCACGATATGGTGTCAGGAAACCCGAAATGTTTGCATATCCAGAGTCTACCATGTAGAATTTACCTGCATGAACATACCTTTTTTACTTAAGTAATAAGTTGGTATAAATAAATTTGAACTTGTATTTACTATAACTAACTAAGTTATAACATTTATAAATAATGTCATGGCTGATTTACCGGGCGGTGGATAGGGGAAATTATATCTGGGGTCGACAATGTCTGATTGAAAATGCGTGCATCATTGGCGCTGCCTTCCCAACCCACTAAATACCTTTTCCTACATCTGTAGGAACCTTGTTGTCTTTCCGGCACCCACGCAGGTATAATAGTCCCGTCAATTGCGCCAATGCAGTCCTACGAATAGCAAATACAATTTCAACAATACAGGTACTTTTGTTCAAATAAACGGTGGAGGACACATTAAAAAATAAAAAAGTGTTGAATTTACCTTGAAGTAGGGATATAAATTCCGATTATTTCTTATCCACGATCCAACACGGTTGAAGTATGTGAGACGAATGTAGTCCGGGGCGAGATAACAAAGGGCATTGACGACTTTGTGACAATGACGATTGATTGTCTCCTCTAAATTTCTGAATGTTTCGGTCGCAAATCGTTGCCTTTGATGCCCTTTTATTTGTATGCAGAAAAATGGCTAAGCTTTCTTCAATGCCTATTTTTGTTTGTCTTTTTTTTTTGGTGGAATCCCGCCCATTTGATTTCGTCACAAATGATGCTGACATGACATTGATTTATGCCCATTGAATCTTTAAATCGGCGAGAATTTCCAGCTAATAATTCATTTACCCAGTCCAAACCTGAGTACATGGATTCTCGGTAGGGCATTCTTCTTAATGGGGAAAATGCGGACGACGAACTCTCGTAAATGTTTACAAGTTTTTGAAATTGGGATCCCACCATTAATGAAGTTTCCAAGGGCTCGTAGTCTTCCACCGGGTCAAATTCGCTGTCGATGTCAGGCAAATCATCGATCTCCTCTTCATATGTGTCACTACCATGTACGTAAGACATCCTACAAATAAATAAAATAGTGGCTAAAAACCCATATACAAATGTTCACAAACAAATTGTCACATAATCATGCAGAAAATTTTCAAACAGAGTAGCTTGGAAACAAATTTCAAACAGAGTACAGTTCAAGAAAAATTGGAAACAGACAAGTCCAACAAGAAATGAAGACAACCAATCCACCAATCCACATCCCCACCAATCTGCATCCCCCTTCACTGTGGACCAGGACCCTCATTAATCCACATGTTAATAATATGTTGACACCTCTCATCATGATTAATCGCGGCAAACATGACTTGATTCGTGGGATCCCGAAGCTTCTTGCAAACAAACTGGAAAAGATTTTCGTCCATATTCGACATTGCTTGAAGGTCGCGCATTGCCTGTTCCATCATTGTTAGCTTCTCGGGTTTGTTGTTTCTTTCTTTCAGCGACACATTCAAGTCTGACCAAGAGTACATGGCCGTGTCGAAACTGGACTCCATCCCTCTCCTTCAACGAACAGACCGATTCTTTCCACCATGGCATCGATGAGATGTCGGGGTCTCCATTGGATCGTCATCTTGCTGCGTAAAAACATCGCGGCTAAAATTTCCAGATGGCTCACCACGTCCCTCGGGCACACGTTGAGTCGATACCCTTGCATTCGACCCCGTAGCAGTCGTCCCATGAAAAATAGTCGTCAAAGCTTCGTAGTGTACACATACCTTGCCCTCCATGTCATGATCCCTTGGATTTGCCTGTGGAAGTCATAAAACAATGACAATTTTATAAAAAGGAGAATGACACATCAAGAACACGAAAATTAGTTTATAAAAATATTCCCCAACAAACAAGCAGTAAAGGGCAAATATAAAATTTGCAAAGAATCACACATTATTATACAGCCAAAAAATGTACAAAAGACCAATTATATGTACAAGCTGAAATGAAATAATATTTAGATAAAAGTAAAAGCAATAAGAACACGTGAAGAAAAGAACACTTGTCAGATAAATTAATTTAACGTAGAAAACAATTGTATGTTACAACAATAAAAATAGAAACAATAAGAACAGGAGTACAGGCACAATTGAAGCAAATAACACTTGTGAGATAAATTAATTGAACATAGAAAACAATTGTATGTTATGACCACCCATAAAAAATACTCACGGTCCTCCATTTGTCCCAACCTTCAGCGTGTCCCGTAATCCTTTTTTATGTGGATCCCAACTCAATCCGGTGGCATTGGTAACCATGTTGTGAAATTTCTATAGTTCACTTTCATTCGTTGGTACTTACTTTGCAGTTGTGTGACCTTGTAAAGATAGAAAAAAGAACACTGCTCCTTAAACATCCCAAGAATGGTCGCCCATTGATTCAGTGTGAACTTACCGGTTACACGGTTTCCCATCAGAACTTCTTCCAACATAATATTGACAAAAACGGCTTCATTTTCAGGAGGCCATTTGGCATCTCCTTGAGTGCTATCAGTCGGAGGACCAATACCACCACCACTTGGCATCTACAATATGACAAATAACAAACCAAATACAATGTAGTATGTTATGCTTCACATATACAAATCTGTTGTACTAATTGATATTTGGGCAATCATATTTCTTCTGCAACCCACACAACCGAAAAAAAGGAATCATGATAAAAAAATGCCACACGCAGAATTGGAGATTCAAACTTACCCAACATGTTCCGTCAACAGTGAAGAAAACAACAAGAAAAAATAGTGAGGTCAGATATAATGCCCACAATAGCACAATTAACCTGAGATCCAAAATTTTATGAGTTAATTGCAACAATTGAAATTTTGTACCCAGCCCCAAATTTACCCTACGGTCCTACCCTTTTTTTTATACAATAAAATGAGCGAAGAAATACCATCAAATTTTGTACCCAGCCCCAAATTTTGTACCAAAAGATTGTAACATCAAACTTAGTAAACTTCAATAATGTTTGTATAGCAAAATCAAAAGAATCGTCTAACTACAAAAAAGTGCCCTATTTCCCTTTTTTCACAATTTTCTGTAATACAAATCAATGGAGGTGAAGAGGAGTATGCTCTACCTTTGTTGGCCGGAGTCTTATTTTTTCGGAGATGTGACGGAGACGCTACCGAAGCTTTCGGTAGTGTCTTGAGTTGGGAAATCGGGTCTTGGTTCGCGTCCGCTTCATGTGATGTCGCCGGATGATTTCGTGGAGGGGAGAGATCCAAAGCCGGGTCTGAGGTGATTATAGCTGAATTTATGGAGTAAAATCTCGAGTTCATCAGGTTCCAGCTCAGTCGGATTTGAAATGTGGAAGAAAGAAGTCAAAAAGGAGAAGCATCGTAATGAATGATGCGCAAGTGGTGTTGTTGTATTGGGGTTTGGGAAAGGTAGATCTGAGTGAAGGATACAAGCTCTTGTGGGCCATGCACAAAACCCATCTATGTGATATCCAATCACGGACTCAACAGTGAAAATCAGCCGAAAATCAGTTTTTACTCTGCCCAATTGATATCCAATCGCGCCCTAACAGAGTTTATTGATTTTTTGCTATGCGCACTGCCAATTTGGAATTTCAATCATGAGAACTCGGTTGCCTCAAATTCATAGTAAACTCTTGTTTGTTTCTCTTTTTTATTGGAACTCTATATTCCACATATTTTTTAATTTTTAATTTAATCTTTTTGGTCAATTGTACAATTTTCGGCTGCTTTAACAGTCCTTTATTTTAGCGCATCGTTTGAATTTGACTATTTCAGTAAAAGCATTATAATATACTCATACCATAGTGGGAAGCTCGTAATTTGTGGATATTCAAAGAAGAATGGCTACCAGTGCAGCTGATTGTGAAGGTTGCAGTTAAGGAGTGGCAGAAGTTCACTTCTCAAACATGCAGAAGAGGTTGGGAGTTGAATGTGAGGGGGCCTAGGTCCTTGCTTTGGTTCAGTGGGCACTCATCTACAGCTTCAAGATTTGTTCTGTTTCTTTGCAGGATGTAGTGCATTAGTTCTGGTTTGCCCTTGTTTTTCTGTATTTATTCCTTTTGTGATTCTGGTATTTTTCTTGGCAGTTGTGTCAACGGGATGTTGAGGTTTCAGCTTATGTGGCTGCCTTAACATGCTATATGTAGATTGATGGGTTTGTAGTTGTGTGTTAGTTCTAGACCACCATGAGGTGTGGCTCTCGTGTTCTTTGTAACATTGAGCTATTTAGCTCTCGGATGGTATCTCTGTATATTTAGGATATGTTTGGTGAGCTAATAAAGCTAGCTTTTAGCTTATTTGGTTAGCTTATAAGCTCCCTGTTTAAAATAAGCCTCGTTTGGTAGGACGAGCTTTTTTAAAAAGCTCGAGCTTATTTCATAAGCTACTTTAGGTAGCTTTTCAAATAAGCTAGTTGAATTTTTTATTTCAGCTAGCTTATCAGCTAATTTACCAAACACTTTTTATCATATAAGCTAGCTTTTCAGCTATAAATCATAAGCTATAAGCTATAAGCTCGAAAATTACATATAAGCTATAAGCTAGCTTATCAGCTAGTTTTACCAAACATAGCCTTAATTGATATAAAATTTTCTATCATTGCGAAAAAAAATGCAAATGAACATTTTTTTTCAATATAAATAAGTAAGATAATTTAAAGAATAATGTAAATGTAATTTTATATTTGATATGGGATATTGTATCCAAAGGAGTAAACCGGTCTAGTGAGCCGAACGAACTGCTTTGGTCGAAGCATAGTCCGAACAGGGTGGTTGTGGTCGATCATTAGGGAGCGAGAGCCTTCAAGTTAGAAGGCAAGGTATAAGAAGTTTTGGCACGAGAACAGGTCGGTCCCAAGTTCATGGAGGATCTGGTCGAAGATTGGCCTGTCGAGCAAATGGTCGTTTGTTTGATCACTTCAAAAAGTTAGAGCAGTCAGCAGATCGACCTAGAGGTGGTCGAGCATAAGAGTCTTCGAGGAGATTTCAGGGGAATCTAATACTCATGTGCGGAAGACACGTGGCATGACCTGATTGGTCCGTATTGTATAACAGTCTCTGACACACCTCCAGTGTGTTGCACTACCAGGCATGCCGAGAAGCTCTTGGGCAGCCAGCTCAGCTCATTCAGGAAGCATCTGGAAAAAGTATCTCACCCTATATATAGATGTGAGCCTTATGATTTCAGCACGATTTATCCGTTATACTCTTGAGAATTGAGTAGAGCTTGAGACTGACTTAAGCATCGACAACGAAAAATACTACCGGTGTGAGAGTTTTTGCAGCTACGTGGAGTTCTACCGGTGAGGAGAATAAGACGAGCTGATTCCCAGCCGGTCGGAGTGTTCGACGTTACTAGTATTTATGCTCGTGTACTTAAAATAGATAGTTGAAATTGAATTTCACTACACCTTACTAGATCATATAAACATCCAATTAGGTTTGGTTAATCATCTTTTTATTTTATGTGTGAAGATTTTCAGATTTATCTGTAATAGTCAAGTGTCATATACTACTAATATAATTTCTATAACCTATTTATTTTACCAATGTTATCATCTTCCCTATATATAATTCACGAATGCGCTGAGCCTACGTGACTGCTTCTGGTGATTCGGAATCCTACTTGGCGAAAAATCATGCTTTGTAATTAAGTTTGGACAAATAATATTGATATATTAATAATTAATAATCTAGCTTCAGACATTCCATAAGTATTATTTATCTAACTTAGGTATTTCAATATCACTTGTACTAATATAACCATTTAATTATTTGTAATTTTACATAGTGAGACACTAAGTGACTAATATATCACTGACTTTGATTTGTGTTTCCGTCAATTAGCTATTGAATTGTAAATGTATTTTAAAAGTTAATAACTTTTGTATTTCTTATCAGTTTTACATATATTATATATCAAATTAATCATCTTTTGATGATCTTCAATTTGACATCCATATTGTATATATGAAATAAACAAATTATATTTATCTTTATAATAATAAAAAATAATAATATTATTTATTAAAAATTTATTAGAAAAATTAAATTATTTATCAATTGATATAAATATATTTTTAATGTAGTTATATGTTGTAAGTTCGCACAAATAAAAAGTGTCATATTAAATACTACCTCCTTTTTTAAATAAATGTCGTTTTGACTTTTTTGATTCATCCATTTTGCTATGTATCTAGACATATTAATGTCTAGATACATAGCAAAATGGATGAATCAAAAAAGTCAAAACGACATTTATTTAAAAAAGGAGGGAGTATATAGTAATATATATATTTATGTAAAAGATATTTAAATTTTCAACTCTTTTTTCTCATTAATATTAGGTTTTAAGAAAAAAATTAGCAACCACCCGTGTAATATATAGGTATACTAGTCTATATATATATTAAAAGCCAACATATTTATTAAAAATAGTAGCAAGAAAAGTCAACACACATTTAATGCATACCTTATTTGGAAATTTTTTACTATA